TTTCAGATTTTTTTTCTGAAAGGAAAGAAAGAGGATTATAGAAGGTTTTAATGAAATTGGAGAAGAGAAAATAGACAAAAAATTCTAAAAACAAAGGGTGGTGTCCTTTTGAGATCAAATTGCCCTGAAGGAGAGGTGGATATGGAGCAAAGTAACTATAAGCTTTTTTTTTTTTTTTTTTGAGAAAGCACTATACAACATGCGATGTATGAGATGCAAACAGAATAAAATAGATATATTGAATTACTTTTGACAAACAAATAAAGGTATTTTAAGTAGATGCTTTAGAGTACTGCAACTTCACCAGCAAAGACTGGTGAGAAGAAAGGCAACCACAGAAGCCAAGCTCAATTCTGCCATCTGCTGCTTTGCAGTAGGAACCATGCTTGGGGAAGACCCGAGTCTGATCCAGTACCCAGGTCATGGCCAGGGCAGACACCCTTTTAGACAAAGATGGGATAGAAGCCACCAAGATTATATCCAAGAGACGCAAAGACTTACATCAACAAATAACAGATATGGGGTTGGATTTATCCCAGTGAATAATTATACCAAGTCAGGGTTCAAATAACAAATACTTACTAATAATTAAACCAAGTCATATACATATGTAACTAATTGCAGTACTGCCCTAAAAGCTTCACCACCATTGGAACATTCATAAAATCCCTTGGAATGCTCAGAACATTGTAGAAAGACAGCTGCACCGGTTCTAGTTTCTTCAGCATCTCATGGACCTACAAGTGACAAATTGTCCTCTCATCTTCAACAGAGGACAGGTGTTGGAGTTGGAAGCAAGGCATGAGCATCACAAGTTTTCTGTGTTCTATTCTTTAGCTATGTCCTTATGGAACAAATTACACAGACCGTAATCTGAAAGACTATATGGTTTTGTCTCACTGAAAAAAGAATGACCTCTATGTAAAATTCTTCTCTGAGTCATATTTTGACAACAAAAACTTATAGCATATTGTATTTGTAGTCAACAATAATGGTTGTGGTTCTACATGGAAGAGCAGGCAGGGGAGTACATTTTCTATTTTCATCTCTGGGTTCCTATTTCTGACAGTGACAAGGAACACTGATGAACTGTAGCCTAATAGTTCTCTAATTGTCACGAGTTGATGATCTCTCATCAGTTGCTTGGCTTTTAAAGTAAGATTGAGAAGTAGTGGTTAATTCTCCCAGGCTTGCCAATTCTCCCTCTGGAGATGGCCCGTGTCCTCTCTTGTATGCGTAATCTTTGCTTTACCTCAATAGCTTCTCACTCTAAAGATAGAGCACATTCTCCCTTGAATGTTCTTCTGCTTTCCTAAATAAAATTCCATCTATGGCTTTGGGGAAAAAAAGAGAGAGAGAGACAGACGCGTACACCCAAGCTTTGAGGCAGTAGAGCATGGGTCTGATTTCTGGTTCCATTGCTCATGAACTGCTTAATCTTGACCAGCCTCAGTTTCCTTCTCTGTAAAAATGTCTCCTCTGGGATTACTATGATAATTAAATGAGATCACATGGAAAGAATTTAAGACAGTACTGGCATAAAATAAATATTCAATAAGTAAGAATTACATTATTAGTATTTTTACAATTAATTGACCTTCTGCTTTTAATAGTATAACCACGACTTTATACTTTTTCATGCACATTTTTAGCTCATTTTACCTCATTTAATCTTCAGAATAAATGACTCATGGGTATAATTATCTCCTTATTTTATAGATAAAGCAACCAATAGTCTAAAAAGTCAAGTGGCCTGACAAAGAGTGCAGTAGGAACCATGCTTGGGGAAGACCCGAGTCTGATCCAGTACCCAGGTCATGGCCAGGGCAGACACCCTTTTAGACAAAGATGGGATAGAAGCCACCGAGATTATATCCAGGAGACGCAAAGACTTACATCAACAAATGTCTGGGTAAGTAGCCACAATAAGACTCTGGAACTCATACCTGGTCTTCTGATGCTATAGATGTAACAAAGAAAAATGGTGTGACTATTGAAATATCCACTCTTATTGGAGCTGGTTTTAGTAAGAAATTTTCTAAGCATGATTAGTTTTATCCCACCCTTTATATATTCTCAGGGAGTGTTTCATTTACTAAGAAATTTCTCACTCTCTAGAGAATAATTGCCTTGTAATAATCCATGATCCAAATGAGTACATCATATATGGATCGATTCCTATATTTTGGCAGGTTTATAAGCATTTGACAAATGCTCTGTTTCCCCACATGTGAAATCCCAAATGGCACCTCAATCTAATTACACTACTCTCTCTGAAGACTCTTCAGACTTTCCAGAAGGAAGTCCAAAGTGCCTAGCTATACGCAGCAGCCTTTTGCTAGTTCTCACCTCCTTTTCCAGCCATGCCCCCTGGTCACTACCCAGAAGGGCAGTGTTCCTTCACACCATCCCGTCTTCCTCCACCAAGCTCGACCTCCTCCAACACTGGACTCCAGGACCTGTTCAGACACCCCTGTTCTGTAATGCTCACCTGTACCAATCTCTCTTTCAAGATGAACTGGTTTCTCATCCACGTTTCCACAGCAGCTGGTCTCATTCCTCTTTCCAACATTTTTTTTTAATCATCAGTGTTGATTTGTGTATCTGGATTCTCCACTAGACTGAGGGATCCTTGAGGGTAAAAATCATGCATCATTCAACTTCAGAGCTCCAAGGCTGGGAATTCACCTGATTGATCTCTGAAACATACTGGGTTTAAAACCTGCAGGTGCATGCTACCATGAACTAATATTACTCTTCAGACTTCTTAGGGGGGGAAAAAAAGACTTCTGCGAATCTTCATTTGTCTATTCAAAAGGTTCCACATCATAGGCAAAATGTGAAAGGATTGAGTTCATAAATTAAATTAAATTCCAAAAAAGCAATAGCTTTCCATTCAAGTTTTCAGCAAATAATAATAAATAATAAATTTTTGTAAACCAGGATACACAATATATTCATCATTTTATCTTTTGACCTTTCAGTGTACATTTTTGGGTAAATTGAAGGAATTACATTTTTCTTGTTGCTAAGTCTTGAACAATTGTTACTATATCTGCTAAATATATTTTAGGGGAAAATAATATCAGTTATGGAGTCCTGTGTGTGGTGTAACTCATAGCAGAATTGAGAAGCCACAGTAGCCAATGTTAAAGTACAAACTTCTTCAAGAGAATTGTAAAGGAGGAGTCTTTTAGGTAACCCTATCTCCAGGAGCCTAGAATTCTTACTCTTACTTTTTTCCAACCACAATGAACAGTTAATTCTTTTTGCCTTTTTTGAATTTAGTTAAGCCTCTTAATTTTTGGTAAAATTTAAGTCTAGTATAAACTAACTCAAATTTGAAGTAGACCTACTCCTATCCTTGAAATCTCAAGCCTTTTTTTCCATTATTTTCTTAATGCTTATTTTGAATTATCCTTAACTTAGATACCCACAGTTATATTCCCATGAAAACTGAATTTTGGAAGTTTTATAAGTGCATTCTCTGTCACAGAGAACAACACACCCATGTCTATAAGGTCAGTTGTATTTCTGATAGGAACATACTCTTCCAAGGGCATCTTTGGTACATTTCAGTAATCATCATGAAAGTGAGGTAGTGAAGAGGTAAGAGAGGGCTAGAAGCCATTTGGGAAGAAGAAGAATCTCAGGTTATCACACACTTGAAAGGAATAATCCTCAAGATTCAAAGCCATCACAACTCTTTTTTGTCCTTGTGTTTCCCTAGTGAAAACAAGTCCACATCAAGCAGAAGCTAAGGTCCAAAGCTCCTGGATAACTGGCATTCTTCTGCTGGAGAGCAGCCAGTTACCCTGGGACCAAATTCCTGTTTACTCTGTAGTGAATGTGGGAGAAGAGCTCTCTGCCAGGAGCTGAGAAGGCAGTAAAAACACAGCCAGAGGCTATCACAGGGAGGAAATCACAGAGCACATTAATTGGTGAACTTCAAGGACAGAGATTAAACGCTGTGCAGTGAAGCTCAAATGGTAGCTTTGTCTGAAAGCATCTGGGCTGAGGAGAACCCTTAAGGGTTCAGTAAAATATTTCCATGATGAGTGTATATCAGACGAGCTCAGGCGCATTCAGGGTGGTATGCCCGTAAACGATGAGTGTACAGGGCAATACCCTTCCCTTTTTTCTTTCTAAAAACTTATTGATTCTCTATATGGTAATAACATTTGTTTGATTCTGATTTTTCCATTCTGATATATTTGATTCAGAGAGAATTAAAACTTAAAGAACAGTTTGGGGGGTAAAATTCTGAGAATATCAGGTACAATTTGGAAATCAAGACAGCTCATCATGCCCTGTTGGATATGAGGGTGCCATCTGTGGCATTTCAGGGGCTAAGGAATGCTCCAAGCCCTCTTATTTGCATTTAGAGTTTGAGCAATTTTTTTTTTTTACTAAGAGGAAAAACAAGAACTGCCAAATCCATTTGCTTGCCCATATTCCAAACAGTGTACTTCACTATCACACTCCACAGAGGGAAAACCTTACCCTTTAAGTGCTAGGATTTACACAGTGACTCACCAGAGCCTCATTCTGATATCCTTAGGTGTCATGTCATGAGTTTTACAGATGTTTGAATATAGAGTTTATAAAGAAGTCAGTATTGAAACGATTTCTCATGTCATGGCTAATCATTTCATATCAAGATGGTAATACATTGGAAAGTCAAAATGCATCTTTCACATGTCCCATCTTAGAAGACCTTGGAGATATTTTTCAGCGTTTTATAACAGAAAATGAGAAATAGCCCACCAGGTACAGGACCCAGAAGCTTTATCCATGGTCATTTTAAATCAAGTCAATTGGAATATACACACTGGTGCTGGGAGGGCTGAAAGTCTGGGAGGAATGAGTGTAGCAATACTCTAACAAAGCACAAATATTCAACCGACTCTAAAGCTGAAAGCCTAGGAAGAAGCAGTCTGTTATGGTTTTATTGTTGTCATTATTTTGCACTTAGATTTATCAATTAAAACACCCACCCACCATTTTTGATTCTTTATTTCAGATATTATTTCCCTTCTTTGAGACAAACACAACTCTAATACAGAGATTATTCAAATCTATGTATAGTTTAGATAGTAAATAAGCCATGTTCCATTTTTGTCAGAAGTATTCAATATTTTTGCAGAATTTTCTCCCCCCAAAAGGACATATTACTTTCAACGTGTCCTCAGAACGTTACTAGGAAAAAAAAAAAATCATTGAGGTTTCCTAATATGGAAACACAATGTGGTGAACTATAGTCTTCATTTCTTTCTTTCTCTTGTTCCTCTCCATTTTCTTGTGACAGTGATTCAGAAGGAACATAGAAGCTGTTATTGGCTGTCCTTGTTATAACTTTCAGAAGCAATAAGTGTCCCAGCTTTCACTTGGAGCTAGATATGAATGTCACCCATGAACTTAACACTTTTGTTTTTGTTAAGCTGTTTGTTTATATTTTTAGCATGTGACAGCTCTTGAGATAAAGAGTTCCACGTCTCATATGAGAGAAAAAAAATTTTTTATCTTTTACTGATAGAGTCAATAGGCAAGGCAAGGAAAGGTCCAAGGTATAGCTTTCTGTTCTGGGGAGCCAGACTTGGACCTTGCCTTGAAACAAGGGATTCAGGAGCTAAGAAATATTCTGTAATTTTTCTTCCACTGCCTTCCCACTTCAGGGAAGAATCTATGTCTTTATATTTTCAGAACCCAAACAGCACCCAGCATATACTAGCACATGATAAATATGTTCTTAGGGAAAAAATGGATGGATGGGTGGATGGATGGATGGATGCCTGGCGTGAGGGACCACAGGGAACACAAGTGAGATAACTTCGTACTGCATAATTTTGATAAGAATAGAGCATATTTTTCCATTAACTTCCCAACTCTAGAATTTCCCACAAAGCTTATATTTGATAAATATTGGTTATATTTTAGAAGTCTGTTCTTCATGTTTTACTTTTAAAATATGCTTCTTGTTTTGAATGTATTCTTTTTCTGAAGTCAAAATTGAAGAAGAAATATTTTAGCTGACAATACAAGATTAGAGTGAAATTACAAAATAAAAATTGATCATAATAAATACACTATTTTACTTACTGAGCCTAATTATAGATAAAAATGATCAAGGAACCAGCACAGAGGAGCCGAGTGGGTTGGAACAGCAGTGGGGTAGCCTCAAGTAGGGGAAAAACTTCCATCACCAGACATATAGCTGCCTAACTTGGGAAGTCAGTTAACTTATGATTTCTAAATTCCTCATTTAAAAGATGAGCATAATAATATCTATCTTGTCAGACACACAAGATTGGAGTAAGGATCCAAATTAGATGATGGTCAGGGTTTAGAGTCTTCGCTTTCTTGTTGCATGTTTCTCAAGAGCAAGAAATCTGTTTGATGTAGTTTTGTGACTATAGTCCCCAACGCAATGTCCAGCATGGAAATGAATGAACTTATCTTAGTCCTTAGGTCACTGACTGTCAAATGAAGATGAGAGAAGAAACACATGAAACAAGAACAAAAGGCAAGGTTTGCAAGGGGTATGTGTGCATGCTTGTGTACACATGTAAGGAGTTGTGCAGAAGAGAAAGAAAAGAGAAAATTAGGATAGTCTGAGTCGGACGGTCAAAGTGTGATCAAAAAGGGACACAGTCATCTGTTTCATTATAACACTGGCATTTAAAATAAAAAGAAGGGACTCCAGTTGAAAAGGAGGAAGTTCAGAAAGGCAAGGAAAAGGCATCCCTTCCTCTGCCTCTCACCCTTTTTCTCCATTTATCCAGTGTATGTTCTTCTGTCCCATTATATCCCCTCTCCTCAGCAACCCATACAGAACCTTCACTCCATACTGACTTCAACCTTTTCTCAAATCCTAAGTTCCACCTCCAACCTCGTACTGAGGCATGCACACCTGTTTTCTCATTGTTTTGCCTCTCTCACAGTCAGAAGCTGCCAATTGTCCATCAAAATCCATTCTCCCCTTCCTTGGTGGTTTCTATAGTTCCTTGAAGAAAGGGAGTATGTTCTTTCCTATGGAAAAAAGGTGGAAGTGATGTATCCAATCGCCAAGCTGGGGCCCAAAAAACCTGCATGTTGTTCTTCTTTCCTGAAGACTGAATGGTATCAATGATGAGCAAGGCAACCAGTTGAAGACCTTCCATCATCTTGGGTTCCTGAATGACTGCATGGAGCAGAAACTTTCCACCATCCTGGAATAATCAATAATCACCTAAAAAATAAGTTGAGGTTGTTTTTTTTTTCTCTTAAGCCATAACACTTTGGTTCTATTTGTCATAGTCCACCTAACAAATACAAATAGGCATATCTCTTCTTTCCAGTCAACCTCCATGTCTTAACCATACAATCTATCCCATGACTAAGTGCATATTAGGTAAGTAATTAACACTAAAATTATAGATATTTTTAAAATTAATATTAAAACTTGCCAAATTAAAATTCAGTGGAACTGCTGGTGATATAGCTCAGGGGTAGAGCACTTACTTAATATGCATAAGGCCTTGGGCTCAATACCCAGTACTGCAAAAGAAAAACAAGCAAACAAAATTGAATGGAAAAGAAGGAAAATGATATCACATTTATAAATCTGGATCAGAATACAGTGGATGACAGTGGAAAAAATAGAGAAAAGGCATACTTCTTTGGAAGAAATTTAGGAAATATTAAAAATATTACAGTTACTATCCTTTAATTAGTATTCTTGTGCTACTTAGAACTGTTGATAGATTTTGGTTTTTGTGAAACATGAAAGTCTTTCAAGAGAAAAATTACATTCCTTCTGTTATTTGTTATCAGGATCATTGAAAATGAAATATTAGACATGTTGAAAACATCATAAAACTCCACTGTGAATCGGATGGAAACTACTAAGCGGCGTTGGTTTTTCAGTACCATTGTATAAGTCAGGGGCATTTGTGTCTCTTGATTTTTAGTATTATCTTTTGTGTGTGTGTGTGTGTGTGTTGTATTACACACAAAAGATAATAGTAAAAATCGAACCCAGGGCCTTGTGCATTTGAGGCAAGCACTCTACCAACTCAGCTATGTCCCCAGCCCCTACTATTATCTTGAAAATCTTAATTGCTATTTCTGTGTACATTAGTGATTTAAATTGAACTTTTATTCATGTGTTATTTAATTTTAAAATATTACTGAATATCTTTTCATTTTCAAATCCTTGGCAGATATGATGAGATTTCTATAGACAGAATGTAGTAATTGCCAGCAGCCGTAACTAAAGAGCCACTAAAATAATTGAAACAACTTCTCCTAAAATGGGAACAGATTTTGTGTTTAAATAGACCCCTCAATCTATTTTGCTAGGTACTGAAATGCTGCCCAATATCACCCAGCCTGCTCCTTAGCATTTATGTGTTGAGAGGTCTGTCTTTCATCTAAAACTAAGCAAAATGGAGATCCTGAGTAGGGGCTCTAATGTGCTTGGCAGTTTATTGGCTCAAACATAGGTCCTCCTGACTTTCTCACTGACATTGCACAACCAGCTCTGGTGAAACGGATTGGAGTGGATGCCAAGAAAGAAGAAAGGGGAAACTAAAAATTAAAATAAATAAATAATTAAATAAATATTTAAAGCTGAGTTACATAGTGGTTTCTTTCCTGTTCCTATGTGGGCAGAAAGAGGTCTTCAAGACAATGACATTGAAGTATGATGTAAGGCTCATGGTATTTGGAATAAATATATATTTATTCTGATGCTGGGGATCGAACCTAGGGCTTTGTGCATGTGAGGCAAGCACTCTACCAACTGAGCTATATCCCCAACCCAGAAAAAGTGATATTTGTTAACTATCGCAGAAGAATCCATTTATCAATATAGCATGTTTAAAGAACTGTAGTGGCCTTTATATTTATTCTACCAAATCCAGCAAATTGGATGAACTTGTGAGAGGTCTGAAGATAAGTTCCTCACCAGCACCACTTCACAAATGTCAACAGCACGGAGAAAACATTATTACTTATGTTTCATAGTTACTTTCTTCACCCTAGCAATCTAATTTTGGAAATTTCTCTGATTCCAATTCAGACTGGAATCCTTGCACTTCTTTACTAATTCATATTTGTTCTTTTAATAGATAGAAGATATTCCATCCATTGATAAAATAAAATCCCATCAACTGAAACTGTATCAGACTTAAGAAAACGGTTTCACTGTAAATACTGGGCAAAGTACACACTGAAAGTATGTGTCGGTAGACTCTAAAGAGCATTCTACTTTTCCTATATATTCTTTCCCTCTAGTCTTTCTTTTATTCAGCAAGTTTATTGATAACCACAAAATATGCCAAGAACTGTTGGGTTTGAATCCCAGTTCTACTTTGTGTTAGCTCTGGGATGTCAGGCAATTTATTTAACTTTTCTATGTCTTGGTTTCATTATTTGTAAAATGAATTGCTATACATGCAGTACTGCTCTACATAAAATAGCTCAGTGAACCACTGAGAAATGACTCCCAAAGCAGAAATTCTATCCCATACTTCTATCCCACTGAGCCAATTGCTTTAGCATAACCACAGCTACATTTAGACATTCAAGAGTTATCTTAAACTCAGCATGCCCCAGATCATATTCTTCAGATTCTCACTGAAAACTGGTTCTCCTATTGTCTCTATTCTCTTTTCTGAATTTGCCATGCCCCAAATCCAAGCTAACTGAAAGCTCAGGTTGCCTCCCCAATTTTGGTACAATACCACATTGTTCCCCAACATCACGTTTAGGGTAAATGGATAAGAGTTAGACCATAAATCCAAAATCCTAGTACAGAATCCTCAGTGTGTCCCCCCGCCAAAAAAAATAACCAAACAAAAAAACCCTGCAAACAAAACTTATAATCAGATAATGTAAAGAAAAAAATGGATTGACCTGAATCTGCTCCAGAAGTTTTGTTTATTTGTTTGTATTTATTTATTTTGGTACTATTTCTCAGCAGATAATGTTTACATTGATTTATATGCCCCCTAAACACAAACGAGTGTGGTTGTTAAATAATATTATGCCATTAAGCTTCTTCTTATTTAATGCTTCCTCATTATTCTCATTGTTAGAAGTTTTGAAAAGTTTATGCTGAGTCTCATAGTATAATGGAGGAACACACAAAAACAAAACAAAACAAAAAACCCAAACACTAAATCTCCCTTGAGTCACAGAAAGGAATTTGTAGGACTCAGTGTCAGAATGAGAAATAAAGATACAATTCCCTTCTCAGATCAACCAAAGTTGAGATTTTTCAAGTTGCAAGGGTATCACGGAACCTCCAAATAGGGCGAGCTTAGACTTGAAGACGGAAAAGGTCTGAGCATTAATAAAAGATTAGAACCTTACATTTGAAAGAAGTATGAAGTGTGTGTTATTGTGCTGGGAGGTTTTATGCATAATTTCATCCTGCCCACAGAAGCACAGATATTCTTGTTTGGTGGGAAGTTCACATGCTATAAAAGCCAGATTATAATTCAATGAAGATGGAGATTTATTCTGAATATAGAGTACAGGATTCGCCTTGCCTTCTGACATTCTGGAGGCCACCACATTGACTCAGGACTTATAGGTAGGACCAAGGCTTCTTGGAAAACCCCTCTGGTCATGGCTCAAGCCTCACTGAAATACTTGGGGATATTGAAAGACTCAGGACTATCAGACAGGAGTGAAAATGGAGCCATGATCTGCCTCCCACAAGACTTTATTTAGGGTAAAACTGGACCACAAGGAATCGGTAACTACATAGAAACCCTACTGTCCCTTGCTTATCCAATTTTTCCACTTTTTGGCCAATAATCAAATGAGTTCAATTGAAATAGAACCTTCAACCTGAAATGGTGGGGGGGGGGATTAATTAGCATTTATATATTTTTTCTCAAGTAAGTTTTCTTTTGAGACAGGGTCTCACTAAATTGCTTAGGGCCTCACTAAGTTGTTGGGGCTGTCCTCAAGCTTATAATCCTCCTGCCTCAGCCTCCTGAATGGCTAGGATTACAGGTGTGGGCCCCCATGCTCAGCCAAGTTTACTTATTTCTTGGAAGGTCAAAAATCCAGCCAAGGCATTAATATCATAGCTGCTGTTTTCCCACTTACCCTAGCAGAGGATCACACATGGAGAATGTTTATAAACTTTAACCAATTGTTTTGGGAAAAGATTGAAAAGAAGAAGGCTAGACTCATTTCTCCAGATGGCCACAGTTGAGTTAACCCTACTTCTCCGCCTTTGTACCTGATAACCACAGGTTGGTGCAAGTCTCATCCTTGTTCAATATCCTTTCTTCTTCATCTCTTAGCTACATTCTCATTTTCTTCCTTCCTATAGAAGCATCTACTCTATTTTGTTTCATATGTCAGATAAATATCTATTTCTAAGAAATCAAGATAGTCTTTTATTTCATGAATTTTAATTTATATGAAGGGCATGGTGCCTTGGTTTAAATTCTATTTCTTTTTTCTTTTCTTCCTTTCCAGGAGAGAGTTCCATTGTATGTTCGCAGCATACCCTTTAACCATTTCTACTAATAGATACTCAGTTGCCGGCCACCACAGACAAGGCTGGGTTCAATTTTCTAATACAGGACCTCTAGTAGGTTGCTATGGAGTGAACACACAGGACTATATGTGGTTCAACTAGTGTATGCAGCTCAACTTGCCCTCTGTGAATCCATTGCTTTTCCAAATAGCTGTGTCGATCTGCACTCCCTTAAGGAGCATTGACAGTTCCTAATTTTTTTTTTTTAATTTTGGTACCAGGGATTGAACCCAGGGGTGTTTAACCACTGAGCCGCATTCCCAACCCTATTTTGTATTTTATTTAGAGACGGGGTCTCACTGAGTTGCTGAGTGCCTTGCTTTTGCTGCTGAGGCTGGCTTTGAACTTGTGATCCTCCTGCCTCAGCCTCCTGAGCCACTGGGATTACAGGTGTGAGCCAATGCGCCCAGCTAACAGTTCCTATTCTTTTTTGTTTGTTTGTTTTTGTAGGTGAAAACATTTATTTTCCAATTAAAAATGACTTAGAGTAATGTAAACATAATCTTTTGTTAGGACATAAATTGTTAGAGCCCTTTTGGTATGGCAGTTTAGATCATGTACTAAAATTGATATACATAATCTATTACCCGGCAATTCCATACCAAGTTATTAAGGTTATGTGCCCAGCAAAATTTCAGGAACCGGTATACCAAAATGCATGCAAAAAAGTTCATGACATAATATCACCAAAGAATACCATAGAATGGGAAACAACCTAGATATGCATCAAGAACAGAATACATTGTAGAAAAGTCATCGAGTTGGACACTCTGTGCCACAGAAATTGATCCAGTTACATCAGCCACAGCAACAGGAGTTTATCTACATGATGTTGAGTCAAAGAAGTCAGACTCCAAGTAGTACATGCTGTGAGGATTTCATTTCTACAAAGTTCAAAATAAGCAAAATTATTCTTTGGTTTCAGAAGTCTGGAGTGTTGAAGAAATAGAGGGCTGCAGTCGAGAGCTTCTGAGGTACAGCTAAATTTTTATGTATTAATTAGGTTCATTTACATAGATTTCTGTGTTTGTGGTCACAAACTTAGCTATATTCTAATTTTAAAGTTTTATTGTGTTTTAATTGATGCATAATATTCATATGTATTTATAGGATTCAGCATGTTTTGATATATGTATTCTTTTGTGATGATCAAATCAATGCATTTAGCCTATCACCTCAGACATGAACAGCTCCTGTTCTGACAGCATTTGGCCTTATATAATCTCTACTTTTTTGTCAATCTGACGTGTAAATTAGCAACTGCTTCATTGTAATTCTCATTTATCCAATTTCTAATTAAATTGATGTCTCTTTTTATACCTGTTAGCTATTTGGACTTGCCCATTTTCACTGTTTCCCCATTTTTATTTTTCATTTTTTTTGGGGGGGGTGTTAATGTGTTCTTTTTAGATAGACACGACAGTAGAGTGTATTTTGACATATTGTACCTACACGGAGTATAACTTATTCTAATTAGAATTGTTTCGCCATTTTTCTAACATGTTTTTTCTTTCTCACTAACAGATATTCCTCTATATTCTAGGTAGCAATTCCTTGACATTCTTAGCTACTGGAGTCCCCCCCCACCACGTCTGTCACCTATCTCAATTTTGTTATGTCATCTGTTGAACAAAAGTCTAATTGTGTCAAATCAGTTTTTCCTCTTTTACAGTGAATTTAGAACTTATTGAAGTAAAGATTTTTCAATTCTAAATTGAAGATCTCATTCCTTATTTTCTTAACAAACTTTACCTCTCACTTTTAGGTCTTCAGTCCATTTAAACTTTATTTTCATACATACCATGAGTAGGCATCCAGATGTACTTTACTCTCTGAGTGAAACTGCTTTTCTCAATGCCATTTTCTAATAATCCATACTTTCCCTGGGGGTGTGAGATGCCACCTCAGCCACATGCCAATTTCCCATTCTTCCGTGATGAGTTCCGAGTTCCCTTTCACTTTGATTGACAGTCTCTCTTCCAGCAGTAGAAGCTCACTTTTTATTACTGACTGCTCATATCTGGTAAAGAAAATTTCCTCCCCTTTCTCTTCTTTTGCACATACCCTTATTTTTTCCATATAATGTTACAATCAATATGTCAAAAGCTCCAAAAAAAAAAAAAAACCTGTCAGAAAATTTATTAAAAATACCCTGAATACGTACCTTGATTTGAAGGCAGTTGTCATCTTTAAAATTTTACATTTCCCTGTAAATGAACATGATATATTTTACTACTTAGTAATATCTTCTTAAATCCTTCAGTAGAATATTAAAATACTATCGATAAAGGTCAGGTACATTATTATCTTTTTATTTATCTTATTATCTTTTAGGTACTGTATGAATTTTTTGCTACTATGAAAGATATCTTATTTGCCATTTTATATTATCTAGTAATTTTTTTAATATAGAGGAACACTTTAAATTTAAAATTTGAACCTGTCTCAAGGAAACTTTCAGAAGTCTGTGTTAACAGTTTGACTATTGATTCTGTCAGTTTTTCTCTCTTGGTGAATTTATCATCTGCAATCAATGGCAGTTTCAATTCTTCCATTTAATTCTTACACCTTCACTTTTTAAATTTTTGTCTTGTTGTACTATCCAGAACCATAATGGATAGGTGCATGGTTAGATATATCGATTGGTTTGAGAGATTTCTTCATGTTAATCAGATCTTATACATTTCACCTATTTTTGTGCTTTATTTTCAATTCATGAGTTAAGTTTAATAAAACAATGATGGTTGCTGACTTATCTACTTTTCCCTACAGCTCTTCCTGTTACTGCTGCTACTGTTTTCTATATTTTGAGTCTTTGGTATATTTCTCTTGACTCATATCTTCTTGATCCAATGTTCCTTTTGCCAGTTTATACATTTTTGTTCTTTATGATATCTTTTCTTTTTTACATATCTTCTAAAACTTACTATGAATTCTTTGAATGCTAGAAAAATTTGTTTTTAAAATGATCTGAACTGATCATTTAGGTGTTCTATCCATTCTTAAATTGGTTTTGGAAAGTTTTAATAAACTTTATATTCAGAGCAGTTTTAGGTTCACAGCAAAATCTAGCAGAAGTTGCAGAGATTTCCCATAACCCCTTGCCCCCACATATGCATAGCTTCCTCCACTACCAACATTCCCCACCAAAGTGGTACAGGGTTACAATCAATGAATCTGCATCATTATCACCCAGTCTATAGTTTGCTCTAGGCTTCACACTAGATGCTGTGCATCTGTGAGTTTGGACAAATGCATGATGGTATGTATCTACCACTTTAGTATCATACAAGGTAGTTTCACTGCACTGAAAATCTTCTCTGCTCTCTTTACTCTCCACGGTTTTATCTTTCTCAGAATGCCATATAGTTGGAATCATACTATATTTAAACTATTCATATTGACTTATTTCATTTAGTAATGTTTAACTTTCCACCATGTCTTCATGGCTTGATAGTTCATTTCTTCTCAGAGTTGAATAGTATTTCATTGTTTAGATGTACCACAGCTTATTTATACATTCACTTATTGAAGACCATCTGGATTCCTTCTAAGTTTAAGCAATTATGAATAAAATTGCCATAAACATCCATGTGCAGGTTTTTATGGGAACCTGAGTTTTCAACTTCTTTGGGTAAATACCGAAGAGCACAATTGCTGGATCATATGATGAAAACTATACTAAATTATGTTTAGTTTTGGAAGAAACCAACAAATTGTCTTCAAACATGGCTATACCAATAACAAGAATAATAGTTCCTATTGTTACACATTCTCCTCAGCATTTGGTGTTTCCAGTGTCCTAGAGTTTAGTCTTTCTAGTAGGTATGTAATGATATCTCATTGTTGATCTAATTTGCATTTCCATAATGACATTCGATGTGGAACATCCTCTCTGGTGTTTATTTGCCATCTGTATAACTTCTTCAGTGAAGTGTTTGTTGAGGTCTTTGGTCCACTTTTTGGTTGCACTGTTTTCTTGATTTTCAGAGTTCTTCCTGGATTTCAGGTAACAGTTCGTTATCAGATATGTCTTTTGCAAACAAAGATGTCCTCTCAGTTTGGGGTTTGTCATCTCTTTCTCTTGACAGTGGTTTTTTTTTTTTTTTTTTGGTTATAGTTGGACATAACGACACCTTTATCCTTTATTTTATTTTTATGTGGTGATGAGAATCAAACCCACAGCCTCACACGTGCTAGGCAAGTGCTTTACCGCTGAGCCACAACCCCAGCCCTTGACAGTGTTTTTGCAGCACAGAAATTTTTACTTTTTTTTTTAAAGAGAGAGAGAGAGATAAAGAGATAGAGAGAGAGAATTTTAATATTTATTTTTTCGTTTTCGGCGGACACAACATCTTTGTTTGTATGTGGTGCTGAGGATCGAACCCGGGCCGCAGGCATGCCAGGCGAGCGCGCTACCGCTTGAGCCACATCCCCAGCCCCAAAGAAATTTTTACTTTTAATGAATTCCAGCTTATCAATTCCTTATTTCATAGATTGTGCCTTTGGTCTTACATCCAAAAAGTCATCTCCAAATGCAAGGTTATATAGGTGTTTCTCCTATGTTATCTTCTAGTTTTATGGTTTTTCATTTTATGGTTTTTCATTTCTGTTATCCATTTTGAGTGAATTCTTATGAGGGTTACAAGTCTCTGTCTAGATACATTTTTTGCAAGTGGATGTCCATTGTTTCAGCACCATTTGTCAAAAAAGACTATCTTTGCCTTATCGTATTGCTTTTGTTCCTTTGTCAACGATCTGTTGACTACATAGTTGTCTTCCCTGCTTATCCATGGAACATATGCTCCAAGATCCCTGGTGGATGGATGCCTCCAGTCACACAAATATAAGACCCTATATACACTGGTTTTTTTTTTCTGTGTATACATATCTATAATGAAGTTTAATGTATAAATTAGGCCTAATAAGAAACTAGCAATAAAAATTCATCAAGTCTAGAAAGTTAAAGAGAATTAAAATTATACAAAATATTTGCCTTGACCAGAGTTAGAAATCAGTAATAGATAGCTAGAAATGCCAAATATTAGGAAGTCAAGCAATAATTTCCCAGCAAGTCAATGACAAGAAAAAAGTCACAAAGGAGGGACTGGGGTTGTGGCTCAGTAGTAGTGCGTGGGAGGCACTGGGTTCAATCCTCAGCACCACATATGAATAAATAAAAAATAAAGGTATAAAAAAAGTCACAAAGGAAATTATGAAATGGTCTGAACTGAAAAAAATGAAGTCATAATGTGTCAAAACATGTTGGATATACCTAATGGGTTAAAAGGAAACTTACAGCCTTAAAATTCTGGCTAAGAAGTCAGATCTTCCCAAACTGATCTACAGATTCAGTGAAAAATCTCAACAAACTTATTTTAGATAGAAATTGACAAGCTTACTCTAAAATGTATGTTTAATGTAAAAGACCTAAGGGCAAAAAAGCTGGAGGATATTCACTACCTGACTTCAAGACTTATTTTAACACTTCAGTAATAAAAATAGAATGATACAGTTGCAAGAACAGACATATATATAGATTTTAGGATCAGGTGTCCTGAAGTGGACTATACACACTCAGTCGAAGCCTAAGTATCAACTGTCTCTCTTGAAGGGCATGACAGGATTCTCACTGCAGAAGGCCAGAGGATCAAGAGAGACTTCTTTTCAGGTGGGGAAGAAGCAAATACTTTGAATTGCTACAGGAGAAAATTCAATAGAGAGCCAATAAACATGAAGAAGGGCAATGGAAAAATCAATGAATAATACCTGAGTGAAAGAGGCAAGGTTGGAGGATCAAAGGTGGAGAAATTTTACTTGGACTGAAAAGAAACCTATGAAAATGGCAGCAGAGACAGGTTAATTTGTGATTGTGAATGAAAACTGCAGAGCTTCATCTAGAAGCCTTGTGGGATTTTGTTTGTTTGTTTGTTTGTTTTTAACAAGGAGCAGATCCTACTGATGAGAGAAGAGGGATATATGGGAGGCAGAATCATGACCACCCCCTCCTCTTCTCAGATATCTGTGTCCTAATCCTTGAGACCTGTGAACAAGTTATTTTATGTGGCAAGGAGGGATTAACACAGCATGAATTAAAGCTGCTCACTGCAGACCTTGAGATGAGGAGATTACCTGGATTATCCAGGTGGGCTCAGTGTAATCTGAAAGGTCTTTATAAATCAAAGAGGGAGAGAGGAGGGTCAGAGTGACAGAGAGATTTGGGGATGTGTGCTGCTGGCTTTGTAGATAAAGAAAGGAGCATGAGCCAAGGATCGTAGGGGCCGATAGAAGCTGAGCTGTAAAAGGCAAGGAAGTACATTCTCCCCACCCACATTAATCCTCAGCCTCCAGAAGCAACTTGGCCCTAACATCATCTGATTATAACCAATTAAGACCCACTTTGAACTCCCAACCTCCAAGATTGCAACATTGTCAATCTACATTGCTTTAAGCACTAAATTTTTGGTAAATTTGTTAGAGCAGCTATAGGAAAGCATCACAGAGTCGGTGTTCAGTAGAGAACAGTGAAAGTTGAAATACTGATTATGGAGTTTGGGGAGGTGACTGGTCAATGCTGGAAGTAACTTTCAGAGGTAAAGAGTTCACAAGTTGGAGAAAAGGAATGTTCCAAATAAAGCTGCAATCTTGAACAAAATCAGGAAAGAAGAAAGCTTAGCACACACAAGAGCGGCAACTTGACACCTAAAATATTAAGGTGGAAACGTGGAGGCGATGTAGTAGGTATGAGTCTACACCATACAAGTAATTTATTCCATAATCAATGGGAAGACTGAAAACAGAACCCAGGACATGTTCCAATGAGAAGCTTCAATTTGTAACTCTACGTTAGAACTATGATTAATTTGAATGCATGCATCAAAACTAAGCAGTAGTTTTCTTTCTTTCTTTCTTTTTTTTTAAGAGTTTAAACAATTCTTTCTGGAAGATAAAGTCCTTAAAAACTAAGGGTTACCAGGGCAGAATGCTCTATTTTCTCATTTCAACTCCACTATTTATTAAATATGCGAACATAGCAAATTATTTCTCAGACCTTCAAAATCCTCATCCATAAAATAAGGATAATAATTATACTTGCTGCATAGAGTTTTTGTGAGACTTAAATGAGATGATGCATGAAAAGAAAATGTGTTAGTTTCTCTATTGCTATTTTGATTCTTGTGACAAGTTTCTCCTAGAATGTCATTAA